AACTAAAATAGTAGGGAAGCGGATAGGACCGCGAGTTATCCGGAAGAAGACTTTGCGTATATCTCGGGCGTCGATGAACTTGGGGAACGATCTGAATGAAGAAATAAACAGGAAGTGAAGAGCAGATTGAGCCGCTTTCGGGTTCCCAAAGGAAGTCACAGACCATTGACGGATTCAGAGTCCGAGCCCTCCTGTTCGATTCAATCTTCCTGCGCTCTGTTACGCAGCAGAGACGTGGCCTCACACTGTAGCTACCTCGAAAGCTCTCCGGACAACCCACGGGGTTGACATCTTCTGAAGTTTCCCAACGCAATCCATTCCGTTGGACTTCGCAGTTTGAGATCAATGTCCCGTCTTGGTCAAATAATGAAAAGGACAAACGACAGATGGAGACTAAGATCTTTAGAACCCCGCGAAGCAAGACGTCCTCGATTGGGATAACAGATAAGCTGACTTGTTCGATGCACGGGTGGACCAGCTAAAATCTCAGCTGGTAACGAAATGGATCTGGAACTCGCGGACTTCTAGGCATGTAAGTACTTTTCACAGTTATAACTGATCGCAGATCTTCTGAAACTGCGAGTAAATGATAAATTGGGATTTCAATCAAACTACTACCACCCCAGAAGATAAGTATTCATAACTGTGGTTTTTGTAGTTTCTACTACTTCCAAATATACATGTCTGCAAAGCTTTATTGCATACATTTGCAGTATCTCGTAATTAGAATTGGAATTATTTCAGGTTCATTGAGAACTTTCCAATATTAGAAATTATCAATGACGCAACCGCTACGTCCCCAAATGAAAGCGTTGATAGCTCCGCATTTAGCTATGTGATAGACGCTGGTGAAAGGAGCTGAGCCGCCAATAGACCCACGACAAGTTTTCTGATGAATATCATCCTCCCATTCCTTTTTGGTTGTAAAGCCCTAAAAAATACTATTTGGTAAGTTAAATTATGAAGTAACAGTTACTATATGATAAGTTGAATCATGAAGTGA